CGGATGATTTTTGGGCCCATTCTTTTGAGTCCGCCTTTGAATCGACCGAGGACTTCGCTACAAAATGGCATTTGGTTAACAATTTTTGCCTTCAGACCCTGTTGAATAATGGTTCACAATGGGGCTTTGGAGCTCGGAAAAGAGGTTTTCTCCCCTCCTTCGTTAAGAAGCGGATTTGCCCCGGGCAGTTGCCTAACGGAACAGCCGCGACGAATAAGGGATCACGCCTCTATAAAACCCTTCGTCAACTGTGGGAGCTGGAGACCCGAATGACTCGCCCATCTAAATCCCTGAGAGATGCCATTGTCTTTCAACGAACTGTCAAAAAAGTGTGGCACGCTTTATGGGAGCTGCACGCCCCGATGGTTTGGGATGATATTTACGGGGTCACTCTGGTTGACGTCTTTCACAACGTCCAATGGGTCCTTGACGAAATCCACAAGTGGGAAAAAGACAAGAAGTGCGCTCGCATCAGTGCATGGCGGTCCCGAATGAAGGAGTCGGCCCAAGGGTCAAGGAAGCATATTTTTCATCACCTCAAAAACAAATGTGTTGATGAGCCAGCCAACCTCGTTTTGGATGCCGACAACAACATCATCTTTCAACCCCGAGCTGCCATTGAGTCCATTGCACATGACTGGGACTCGATTTATAGCGCCAATGCCCTCCGGCATGACCCTAAGCAGATGTTGAGTGTGATTTGGCCCTATCTTGATCACGATCCCCCCCCCTTTGACTTGCCACCGTTAACGGGAGCGGACATTGCGATCACCATCAAGCAGCGAAAGCCAATCGCTGCGCCTGGCTTGGACGGATGGCGGACATGTGATCTACAGAGGCTCCCAAGAGCATGCTGCGATGCAATCGCCTCTTTCTTCCGTGCCTTGGAGGATGATTGTAATAGTGTGATGCCAGATGTCTTGACCAGAGCGAAGCAAGTCATCTTGAACAAGCCCGGGCCTTCTTCCCCACTGAATAAGCGCTTAATCACTATTCTGTCACCAATGCTGCTTGCCTATACCGGGACACGGTTCCGGCAACTCCAGGCGTGGCAGAGAATGGTTTTACCTAGAGTTTTGTGTGGGGGTATTCAGAACAGGGATATGTCGGATGTAAGTGTTGGATTGCGGCTCGAAATTGACGAGGCACAGGCTTCAAACAATCCCCTGGTCGGTATTAAGCTGGACCAATCGAAATGCTTCGATAGAATTGTACCTGACTTTGCTGCTGCCCTGTTTCTGGCCCTAGGCCTCCCAAAGGGTCTTGTTAATGCTTTTGTCAAAATGTACGCTTCTCTCAAGCGCCACCTCTCGTATCGGGGATGGATTTCCAGTACTGCCACTACTGCCGCCAACGGCGTAGCCCAAGGATGCAGTTTGTCCCTTATTGCAATTAATGTCCACATGGCTGTTTGGGCTAGATTCATGGCACTCATCCCACACGTTTCTGCGCGCGTTTTCATTGACGATGCTTATTTGTGGGTTCGTCTAGCACATGTTCAACAGCTCGAGACGGCTATTGCGGTCACTAAACAGTGGAACTTGCTCATTGGACAGAAACTCAACACTGAGAAATGCTCCTTGTGGGCGACGAATGCCAAGGCCAGAAAGGCTGCCAGGAAACTCTTCCCCTCCATTCCCCTGGTTTTTGAGTTTGATGCTCTAGGTGCCAAGATTTACACAACGCAGAGGGATGACTGCCTCTTCTCGGAACAGAGAGCCGTCAAGATTTGCATAGATGCTAGGAACATTGCAGCCCTGCCCCTCACAACTGAGGTTAAAGGTCAGCTCATTGCTTCCAAGGTGATACCCCAATGTTCCTTCGCTGCTGACATTTCTTCAATCCCCAAGCTCACTTGCGCCAAGATTGAAAACGAGATTGCCAATGCCATCTGGGGCAGACGGCCTCATTGGAGGGCCCGCATGTTGGTTTTTACCTTTCTGTGTAATCCCTGCTTTGTACATCCTAAAGTTGCAAGGGCGTATGTCACTGTTTGCAACATGTGGAGGTATGTGCATAGACACCCGGAAATGCTTAGTAGATTGCGAACAGTTTACCCGACGGCCATTGTCGGCAAACACACCCTGCTTGCGCATTTTCGGAATGCATTGAAGATTTTTCACTGTGCAGTCATGCCAGACCTCACCATTGGCATTGGGTCCTCCCGTTTTTCGATTTTGGATGTTTCCCCCAAGGACATTCGAGGTATGCTGCATGCACTAGGGAGGCAGTACTGCTACGAAAGTGTAAATTTCAACTCCCGAAAAGATGTAAAGAAGCCAACGGGCTTGGTCGATTACAGCCTGTCCACGATCTTCAAACATGCGGCATCTAAAGACCTTGCCCAGAAATCATTGATCCCTCATTTTGATGCTCAAATTGTAGGCTGCACTATTACCAACGATCGCCGTGCTGCTGCCGGATTCGTTGACTCCGCAGCTTGCAGATTCTGCCTTCAAACTAAGGAATCATTGCTCCACATCATCAAGGATTGCCCTGCGGCGCCGTCCTTTGTCACAGGTTTGGAGCAACATGAACTCGGCCCCAATTTTTGCGGGTTAGGCATCGTCGAACACCCAGCGGGAATTGCCAGTCAGAGACTTAAGATTTCGAAACTGCCGGCTCTCGATGAGTCTTCTTTTGATCCACATGCTCAAGAGCTTGAATGGTTCACTGATGGCTCCGTCCTGTTGCAAGAATCCTATTGGGTGACGTCGGCTGCCTATGCAATTTTTGACAAAGAGGAACGATTGGTCTCTTCAGGCCCAGTGTGCCATCCGTCACTCGCTGCGTACACCGCGGAGCTTTTCGCCATCGCTGTGGCTGTGACTGTTGCCAAGGCTAGGCTGCGTGTTTTCACAGATTGCAAGACAGTCGTTGATCTTTTTGGCCAGTTGATTGCTGCGGGGGAAGTCCCAGTACACTGGAGCCACAGTCCCATTTGGGAACACATTTTGCGTGTTTGGAAGAACAAAGTTGGCCGATGCCAGGATCCTGTTGTTCTCACATGGATGCCTGCACATACAGCGGACCACCTGCCATTCGACCACATAGATCGAGCTGATGTCTTCCCGAATGGACTCAGTGGCTGGCACATACGGGCCAACCGACTTGCAGATGAAGAAGCAAAGCGAGTTGCGCGAGCCCATGCACTTATTTGCATTGACTTGTGGCCAATGGTCAAAGCTGCCGCTCGATCTAGACGAGACGCTCGTCCGGCTCAACCAGCTCATTGGCTCCGATGGGGTTGTAAAAAAGGTGTTTCAAACTTTGGAGGAAACCAGTCAAGCTCAGCCGGAGGACCAATACAAGTCTCGTTTCCCAGCATGGGACTGGAACCCTGAGCCTTGTCTTTTTCCTTGGCGTGCTGCTGCCAGTTGCCCCGGTGAAACGCAGGTTCGGAATGAATGCCCGCCAGATGACGCTCCTACTCTCCTGTCCTTTTTGCGGTCCTTGCATTGGCAGATTGGTGATCAGTGTTCAGTTGCATACGTGGAAATCGCTCACATCTTTGTGGCTCGGCATTTCACGTTGGCCTCCATTGCTGACACTGACACTTTTGGAATGTTGGTCCGTCTCTTGAAAAAATGGTGTAGTGCCATATTCAGTGTTGATGGGCAAATGTTGCTACCTGGACACCATAGCCGGGACGGCTTCCACATCTGCGGTTGGGCGCTACCACGAGGCGCCGTTTTCGGCGCAAGACCTTTGATATGTGAGTTGGAATTGCGGAATTTTGCCGCATTACTCCTGGCCGGTTCTGGCCGCACACTTCAGAGTTGGGATTTTACGCTTGCTGAGCTCGGTGCTTAATTTGTTTGTTCGGTTTCCGCCTCCTAGGCTCTCGTTTTTCACTGTGCGTCCAGAGCGACTGCAGTGATGCCATGTCTCACTCGACTTGGCATGTTTGGTGGAACAAGGACGCTACTAGGGGCTCCTGGCATAGCTACTAGGAGCAAGAAGCTACTAGGAGCAAAGGGCATCGCTACTAGGAGCAAAAGGCATCGCTACTAGAAACAAGGACGCTACTAGGGGCTCCTGGCATCGCTACTAGGAGCAAGAAGCTACTAGGAGCAAAGGGCATCGCTACCAGGAGCAAAAGGCATCGCTACTAGAAACAAGGACGCTACTAGTAGCTCCTGGCACCACAACCAGGAGCAAGAAGCTAGGAGCAAAAGGCATCGCTACTAGGAACAAGGACGCTACTAGTAGCTCCTGGCATTA